CGGGGCGGGCGCCTGGCCCCACGGGCCGCTCAGCTGCAAGGTGCTGGCCTTCCTGGCCGTCCTCTTCTGCTTCCACGCCGCCTTCCTGCTCTTCTGCGTGCCATCGCCCACCACCGCTTCTACGCCAAGCGCATGACGGGCTGGACCTGCCTGGCGGTGGTGTGCATGGTCTGGACCCTGGCCATGGCCATGGCCTTCCCGCCCGTCTTCGACGTGGGCACCTACAAGTTCATCCGGGAGGAGGAGCAGTGCATCTTCGAGCACCGCTACGTCAAGGCCAACGACACGCTGGGCTTCATGCTCATGCTGGCCGCCGTCATCGCCGCCACCCACCTGGTCTACGTCAAGCTCCTCTTCTTCATCCACGGGCACCGCAAGATGAAGCCGGCCCAGCTGGTCCCAGCCATCAGCCAGAACTGGACCTTCCATGGCCCCGGAGCAACTGGGCAAGCGGCGGCCAACTGGACAGCTGGCTTTGGTAGGGGCCCTACCCCACCCACCCTGGTGGGCATCAGGCAGGCCACCCACAGCCAAATCAAGAGGTTGCTGGTGCTGGAGGAATTCAAGATGGAGAAGAGGATCTGCAAAATGTTCTACATGATCACCCTGCTCTTCCTGCTGCTCTGGTCCCCCTACATCGTGGCCTGCTACCTGCGGGTCTTCATCAAGGCCAGCACCCTCCCGCAGGTCTACCTGACTGCTTCGGTCTGGATGACATTCGCCCAGGCGGGAGTCAACCCCATCCTGTGCTTTATCTTCAACAAAGAGCTCAGGGTCTGCTTCAGAGCTCATTTCCCCTGCTGCCAAAGCATCCAGAGCACGCAGGGCACCATCCTTTGTGATCTGAAGAGCTTTGGGATGTAGGGTGGCTTTTCTTATCACGAAAAAATGAATCCTTTCCCATATTTCTGCACATGCACTCAAGTGTTGTTTCTGAGGAAATTCAAATCAGCACCCAGCCCCCAAACTTTTAGCTGTAAGAAGCTATTGTTTATTTTTCTATACTCTGCATATGCTGTCTTCAAAACATAAGAAATTGCTGCCTATGGGGCTACTTTATATGAACAAAATACCCCAACACTTAGGCTGTAAGAAGCAGTTTTATTTGTCTTTGTGTGGTTTTTAAAAACAAAACAGGGCTCCAAGTTTCTGGTCTTGCTTCTAACCTTTGTAGGTGTGATTGCACCTGATCTAGCTAAAAGGCCATGGTAGTTTTGTTCCTTACTCCTGTCTGTTTTGATAAAGGCTTGACAGTTTTATTCAGGATTTGATAAAGGCCAAGACAAACATTTTATACTAAAGTTATTTTTGATGACTTCACAGGTATTGTTTTCTTATTTGTTTTGAAGTCAAGAAGTCAGTTTTTATGGGGAGCTGTTGAGTTGGCATTCTCAAGTGATTTTAAGTATTGAAAGCAGTGATGTAATTTTTGCCTGAAATGCAAACACAGTGTAGAACGATATTCTTGTTGCACTACTCATTTGGTAATATTTCATAATTCTTTGTGACGTGATTTTAAAATGAATCTCAACTTTAAAAATGATCAATTATATCAGTTTTTAAACTAGATTGAATTCATATTTTACTGACTTTGTAGGAAGTTATCTACAAAACTGGGTCACATACTTGTACATTTTGACTGTTTTCTTTAATAAAAGACTAAACTTTATGAAATTATTTCAGAATGGCCGAATAGTGCTTTCTGACATAAGTGTGCATATAAAATTGCATGTCCCTTACGGCTGAGTATAATTCACAGTTTTGGATATCATGGAGAAGCACAGAGTTTGCATTTGCTGTTCAGTCTCATTTTAGGTATTAACATAAACAAGTAATTAAAATATTTTTAAAGAGACAAGTTCATGATGGGTGACGGGTTTAAATAGCACAATTCCTTTTCTGTCGGTTACAATGAATTCCCACGTAGAAAATTGCTCCATTAATGATGGGAAAATTCTGGATAATTATCTATCATTAATTTTAGTAGGAAAAGGAGTTTAACACAATTGCTTGGTTAACATTGTGCGCATCTACAAGCTTCTCTGTTCAGGAAAGTTATTTTGAATTATTAATGGACTAGGTATTTTTATATTTTATTATTGTGACTTATATTGTAAAGACGTATCTAAACGTATTAACTGAGTTGCTTGGAACCAACCTATCGTATCTATATCAGAAAGTACTTTCATCAGAGAAGTCAAAAACTTTTGTTTTATCAAGGAACCTCTCTCAAACATAAAATTTAGCAGACAGTAATCTTTTACTGTTTTGTAACAAATCACATACATGACAGAAATAAGGGGCTTAATTTCTATAAAGAAATTTCAGTGATTGCCACAACAGTAGTATCTCCATAAACACTAGCCACAAATTATTGTTCATCCACTAGATGAGATCTTTCTTGAGTGTAAAGTTGTTGCATAAATATGTTTTGCTGTATTGTAACCTTATTGGACAGGACCTTGAGGAGTTAGGTATGGCAGTTAAAATTAGAAGGCTGACAAGTGAGTACTTGAATGGTGAAACCAAATTTTGCTGTAACACTGAGTCTAGAAAACCTAAGAAATAAAATTTCCTGCAACATGAAGTGCAGGCTTTGAGCTTTCACTTCAGTAGTAACATACAGAAAGCAGAGGGAAAGGTTCAAAAACAGGAACGTGAATTTGAATAATCAGTGGCTAGACTTGGCCAAAGTTTGAAAAAGGAGCTTGAGAGTGACTTAATCAGTTCAAAGGTTTGAACTTTGAACTACAACATGGAACTTAAACAGTTACAGAACTTCAAGTGGAAATATGGGAGGTTTTAGGGGAAAGGGAGAACATAAAAATTGTATGTTACAGTTCTTATTTAGTTAAGGCTTCCTTACAGACATACATAGAGCACTGGTAACTGCCTTTTGTGTATAACTTGTTTTACTGTAGTTCTTTTCAGTTGTATTTAAGTTTTTTACAGACTAACACGGACTTTGAAAATTAAAAATTATCTTGTAGAGATATGAGAATGTGTGACAGTCGGGGATGCATTTTAGGGACATATTAACAGTCTGAAACTGCACATCCAAGTTCTTTTCCCTTTTCATGAAAACAAAAATAAGAAACCCAGTATTTTTTCCTTCTAAGCTTCATGTTAATTTTTTGGGGG